ATATGATAGAAAAGCAATATGCTTAATATCGAGTAATTCTAATTTTTACGAAATATATTCAAATACGTTATTTTTTAAAAATAAGATAAGCATACCATTATGCAGTAGTTTGCGCACAATACTATGCTGATGAAAGTTGGTCTCTAATTCGAAACTTGAGTCTGTCAAATTTACGTTCAGTATTAAAAAGTTGTATTATACGTATGATGTTGCCCGATGTTTGGTAACACTATTGTAGAATATTAAGCATATATGATAGAAAAGCAATATGCTTAATATCGAGTAATTCTAATTTTTACGAAATTATTCAAATACGTTATTTTTTAAAATGAAAAGTAGCATACCTTATATGCTAGTATGCTGCCAATAAATGGAAAAGTTGTCTCTAATTGACAACTTGAGTCTGTCAAATGACTTCAAGTATTAAAAAGTTGTATTATACGTATGATGTTGCCCGATGTTGGTAACACTATTGTAGAATATAAGCATATTGATAGAAAAGCAATATGCTTAATATCGAGTAATTCTAATTTTTACAATTATTCAAATACGTTTTTTTTAAAATGAAAAGATAAGCATACCATTATGCAGTAGTTTGCGCACATATACTATGCTGATGAAAGTTGGTCTCTAATTCGAAACTTGAGTCTGTCAAATTGACGTTCAAGTATTAAAAATTGTATTATACGTATGATGTTGCCCGATGTTTGGTAACACTATTGTAGAATATAAGCATATATGATAGAAAAGCAATATGCTTAATATCGAGTAATTCTAATTTTTTACGAAATTATTCAAATACGTTATTTTTTAAATGAAAAGATAAGCATACCATTATGCAGTAGTTTGCGCACATATACTATGCTGATGAAAGTTTGTCTCTAATTCGAAACTTGAGTCTGTCAAATTGACGTTCCATCTTATTTTAATCGATATTCAATACAAATGAATTCATATTATAATAGTATCTAGTATAACTAGGTATTCTATCACAGTATTTCTTCAATTTATTTTATAATATTTCAGCATTTTTTAGTTTCAATGCTGATTCTCTTGCTTGTAAACTATAGTTACTTTATATCTTCGGCTATTATCCTATTCAACTTAGACGTAAAAATTAAATAACGTATAAATATAATTTTAATGGTAAAAGATTAAATGTTTATTCCGTATGTAATGTGATTTGATTTGGATGGTAAGATAAGTTTCAGTATAGTTTTTGTTAATTGATTAAGAATTGTTGAATAAAATTCTGGAACTTCGTCAATTTCTTTGATCTCCTCTTCCTCGCAATAACAACTCCATATCATTAACTTGTATTTAAAGGCTTCCATATACAAAACTATATATAATGAAAGTTAAATCCAATCTTTTCTATTTCTAAAAAAAATTGAGACCTAAACACGAGATAGCTTTCAGAAAATTTTCAGGGACATTTTTAATCATTTTTTTTTATTTATTGTAATATCTTTGTTATTAAATTTGAATTGTTTAATATTTGAATGTAAAGAATTGAATAGTAATAATTTTAGTTTTAATACATAGCTAATTGCTAAGCAAAATAATTAATTATTTGTAATTTTGACATGTAAACTAAAGGGGAATTTAGCCGGCCAAATATATGTCACTTTTTGACTTCACCTCACTTCAACCATTTCGTCTTATGACAATATTACTTAATATAACATTCAAACAATTTGAAACGTTTAGTCATTTATGTTGACTCTGCCCCAGAATGTTATGTCATGAAAGAATGGGATGTTGTCTTTAACAAACCTAAAGCGACAATAGTGTCTGAACAAGAATGTAGACAGAAACTTAAGAAAATAAAAGTCGTACAAGTTGGCATGAAGATGTTAGATGCTTGGGATATCTTATTGTCAAAGTTAGAAGATTTTTCAGTTCGTGGTATAAAGTTTTATACACCTTCTCCAAACTTCTATTCTATCTTCACTGGATATAAATATGAACAAGTAGAATGGAAAGAAAATATTATAGAAGCTTGGTTAGACCATGTCAAAGAAATTATATGCAATGGAAACGAAAAGGTTTATGAGTATATCTTATGTTGGTTTGCAAACATCTTACAACATCCAAGTGCTAAAAATGAAACTGCTCTCATTATAATTGGAAAACAAGGAACAGGTAAGAACACATTCTTTACAGATATCTTATGCAAACTGTTAGAAGGTTATTCGAACCCTAATATGACAAACTTAGAAAACATCTGTGGCAAGTTTAACTCCTCAATAGAGAATATGAAACTTATAGTTTGCAATGAACTTCAAAGTATAGATACAACAAAAGTTTTGAACTCAGATGCTTTGAAGAGTCTTATAACAGACAAAGTTGGAGTTGTTGAAAGAAAGTATAAAGACCAAAGAGTTTGTGAAAATGTTGCAAACTTCATTATGGTTTCAAACAATGCTGTTCCGATGAAGTTAGAAAGTTCTGACAGAAGATATGTAGTTGTCAGAACGTCAGATTCTCATATGCAAGATACAGAATATTTTGACGACTTAGCAGAAACTTTGACATCTGACTTTTACAACCACTTGTTCTCATATTTCATGACATTAGATATTTCTAAGTTCAATCCAAGACAAATTCCACATACAGAAGAGAGACAAACATTGTTAGAAGCAAACAAGAGTGTATATGAACTGTTCATAGATGAAACTGACTTTGTGTCATTAGATGAAAGGTCTTTATATGATGAATATAAACAATATTGTCAAGAATATGGTTATATGGCAGCTTCTAAACGTACATTCTTGGCAAATGTCAAAAGTCTTTTAGACGTACAGAATGGTGTATATACAAAAAAAATTTTTCGGAGTAAATTTTAAAAAAAATATTTTTTTATCCGATAGAAAAGATGACGAAATATATTTCAGTAAACAAGTACATGTCAGGACTTAAAGAAGAACTAGACCCATTCACATATTTGAATGTTTACTTCTACCATTTTGAAAAGTCTTCATTCAGCAAAGTTTGGAACATCGAACCAGTTAAGTTTGCTGTTGTTAGAAAAAGTGGTGCAACTTTTGAAGACTTATACATTGACGGTATGTTGACAGTCAAAGAAAATTTTGACAGAAAGTTCTCAAAACTCGAAGAAGGTAAAGCATACAAACTTGTTATACCTTATGAACCAAAGAAAGCAGACGACTATGAATATTATGAGTCTAAGATAGTTGAAGTTCAAGGTAAATTGGGTAAAAAGATTTTAGAGTCTAAGCCAGTGTTTACTCCTAAAGAGGAAGAGAACATTGACATTGACCCAGAAATGTTCTAAAAATAAAATTTTATTTTTACATGTCAAATTTCTTTTTCTCTGGAACTGGTTCAGGTTCTTTTTTCTCTTCTTCTACTTTCTTTTCTTTCTTTTCTCTCTTCTTCTTTTCTGGTGGAGTTATGTCAAATTTGGCGCAACTATATTTATGTAAAAGTTCTTTGTCCTTTAATAGCTCATCTATTCTGTTTTCTATTTCATCTTCAAGAACAGCGCATGTGTCTTCTTTGCATTCTAAGAACTTTTGTTGGACTTCATCTTTCCAATCGGCGTCATCTCTGTCAACAAGTCTGTCATTGACAAATTTTAAGACTGCTCTTTGTAATGTTTTATGGTTCTTGTCATATTCCCAGAAACAGAACTTTAGAACAAATTCACCTTTCTTGTTTACACTATGTAAGATTTTATGGTCGACAGATGTTTTGCTGTCAAAAAGTTTGTCTCGAATATAGATAGCGAAATCGCTAGACATTTTCTAAAAGATAAAAATTTTAATTTTTCTAAAAATATGTTAGAAAAAAAGTTTGCTGACATTGACAAGAAATTTGAGAATGTTTTAAACAAGAACAAGAGGAAGTTAGAAAATGCTCAGATAAAGCCTATACATGACAAGTTCTTATTTGCTCAGAATGGTATAACAGGTCTAATTGCACCACCTGGGTCGGGTAAGACTTTCACTTATCTTAAAATGGCTGCACAACAACAAGAACTAGATGAGAAGAACCCATTCTATGAGTTAGTTGTTATTTGTTCGACTTCTGGTCAATTTGACCAAACCGTCAATTCGTTCAAAGATATTATAAAGAAGTCTAAGTTAGTATGTATAAAGGATACTGAGTTGTTAGATTGGATAAAGAAGTACCAAAGAAGAGTTTTGAAGTATAATGCTATAAATGAGTATATAAATTCTAAGTTTAAAGAACCTAATGAGGAAATGCAGAGAATATTAGACAAACACCACTTTAGAAACAAACAGAAAGAGATAGAATACATTTCGAAGAAATTGCAATCTTACGATTGGAAGACTTACCCTCATAGATGTCTTCTTATTTTAGATGATTTCGCATCTCATCCTTTGTTAAAGAACAGAGAACAAGATATGTGTCGAATTCTTAAGAAGCTCAGACACTTTAACATCTCAGTTGTCATTTGTGTACAGACAGCAAAGAGTTTAAGTAAGGATGTTAAAAGAATACTTACTGACATAATACTTTTCCCCGGATTGTCCGAAGACGATTTCATGGAACTTATGAAAGAGTCCATGGCAGGTAAGTTTGACAGACATGAACTATGGGAGAAGTACAAAGTCATACAAGACCCTCATACTTCTTTCAGAATTCATATCTACGCAAACAAAGTTCAAATTGTAAAAAGTCAAGCTTGAAAAATAAAGAGTTCATCTACCCTACTTGTTTGAAGTTGTCAAAATACTCTGTTATTTTTTCTTTCAGTAGCGGTAAGTCTTCTTTGAAGGTAAAAATTGTACAACCTTTCATATCATAGTGTGTTTGAGGTAACGTATCTTGAACTATTTGTTTCACATCTTCATTTGGGGTCATTGAAATCGGTAAGTTTTCGCGATAGAACCAATTTCTGTCAGATTTGTAAATCTTAGCAAGGTCGTAAAAGCTTTTGTTGTTTCTTCTGACTAAATGCAACATAACCATATCTCTGTCTTCTTCATTTTCCATCTCTTCAGTATAAATCATATACTTATAGTTCTTTTCCTTTCCTTTTGGTACCGAACGTGGTATTCTTTTCTGAATGCTTTTGTCTTTTGCTTCAAGCTTGTTTTCCATCTCTTCACGTTCTTGTCTATGAATTTCGTCAAGAAGTCTGTAAATATACCAAGCATAACGAGGCGAAGCCCACATTGCAACAGCATTTACAAGAAGTCTATGTACATAATATCCTCTCAAACCGTTTGGCAATTTTTCACGATTTTCATAGAGTTTTGGCGACTGGGGTTTTTTACCTACTCGCTGTTCTTCACTGTTTTCAGAAAAAAGTATGTCTCGCTGTGCTTCGCTCAAAAGTTCTTGTGTGCTTTGGTTCCTAAACCAGTCTTTAGGAAGCTTAGTATCTGGAGCATAACATGCTGTCAAAATACTTTGCATTTGGTACATATCGTCTTTGACCGAACGAATGAGACGGAGTTGTTTGTTAAACTGTATGTACTCGTATTCTTCATTTATAGCTTCATGGACTATAACTGTTGTTGTGTTCTCTGTTGTTGACATTACTGTCTTTACATACAAAATAAAAAAATAAATAAAAATAAAACTAACTTTATTTTTTCTATCTTAAGGAAATTCATGATTTTTGTGCTGAATTCAATAAAAATAATGTTTAGGTGAAGAGGTGAGATTTCACCTCTTTTTTCACCTCTTTTCTACCCCAGTTATTTTATAAACGTTTCACATGAATTGTACGATGTATATTTGAAATCCTAAACAGTTTCGTAGCTTCTATTTCTTCTTTTAGTACATCGAATGTTTTAACAATGCCGAAAGTTTCTTTTCCATCTCTTCACGTTCTTGTCTATGAATTTCGTCAAGAAGTCTGTAAATATACCAAGCATAACGAGGTGAAGCCCACATTGCAACAGCATTTACAAGAAGTCTATGTACATAATATCCTTTCAAACCAGGAGCCAAATTCTTGCGATTTTCGTACGGAATCTCTTCCCTCGGTTTTCCGAGGGAAGCAATCATATGAGGAAATTCATGATTTTTGTGCTGAATTCAATAAAAATAATGTTTAGGTGAAGAGGTGAGATTTCACCTCTTTTTTCACCTCTTTTCTACCCCATTTTATAAGCGTTTCACATGGTAAACGTTATTTTTTAAATTTTGTGAAAACTCAACGGTTTGACACAAGCCATATGCCATTTTACTCAGAATTTTGTTGCTGAATTCAATAAAAATATATTTTAGGTGAAGAGGTGAGATTTCACCTCTTTTTTCACCTAATTTTTCACCTCTTTTTTTCACAAGCGTTTTACATGAATTGTACGATGTATATTTGAAATCCTAAACAGTTTTTGTAGCTTCTATTTCTTCTTTTAGTACATCGAATGTTTTAACAATGCTGAAGGTTTCTTTATACTTCTTCTTGACGTCAGATAGAAGGAAATCGTCAGCAGTTGGATAGTTTTTGTTCAGAAATTCTAACATGTCCATTTTATTTTCTGCTGGCTTTTCTGCTTCTTTCTTTAAGTCTGCATAGTCGTTTCGCATTCTTTCTATCTCTTTGACGGAGTAGTTATATTTCCTCATTGCTGCTTTACATTTAGAACATTGCGGGTTCATTTTTGCGTTATATTCTGAAACCTTACCTGCTAAAACAACCAAGGCGTCAATGGTTTTCTTTAAATCTGAAGCAGTTGGTTTTATCTGTTCATGCCATACCTTACCTCTTCTATCTTTATCTCTTATCTGCCATACACATTTTGCAGCTAATGAAACAAAGTTGTCGTATGTCTTAAACTCCCCAGATTTATATATGTCAGAGATGTTCTTATATACCATGTCGCAATCTTTGTCCATAACTTTATGGTTGCAATGAAAACCAAGGAATTCATAATTTACCTTTCGTATGAACTTCTTTATTTCTACTGAGTCAGTTGCTTTGACTTCAATTTCGTCGAATTCAGGAATAGTTAGTTTTTGCTGCTGAATTTCAGGTAGTTTAGGCAAATGGTCAATAATGTCCTGCATTTCATAAAGATATTCTTCATTTGTTTCATCTTTCGCACTACAGTCTAAATTACTTGTTAAAAGTTCCTGCTTTATTCTTTGTATTTCTGTTTCGAAAGTAAATGAAGAAGGAATGAAGCTTTTCATTTCTACTAACATAGATGTTGGATTCATGACTAACGAGTTTGGTGCTGTTGTTTGAATTGTTGTTGTGCCGATTGTTGACATATCTGTCTTTACATACAAAATAAAAAAATAAATAAAAATAAAACTAACTTTATTTTTTCTATCTTAAGGAAATTCATGAAAATTCAAGAGGGTGAAAAAACAGGTGAAAAAAGAGGTGAAATCTCACCTCTTCACCTAAATTATATTTTTGCTGAATTCAGCAACAAAATGAACGAGGTCAGGATGTATGTAAATACATTTGAATTCATTCATAACACCCTTAGTAAGCTCATAAAATGCTTGTTTTGAGGTCGAGCCACTTTTGGCTCCACCGTATTCTTTCAACCAAAACTCAAGAATTTCCTGCATGAATTTTGTATAAAAAGCAACAGTCCGAATTCCGGCGGTTGCTATATTCTTCACAAAATGCCTTATAATACTCTTCCCAGGACTTATTTTCCAACAACTTTCTAAAGTCTTTCCTAAACTGACTGACTGACTGACGGCACAAAGTGGCTTAACGAAAACATTAATATATAAAATTCATGAAAATTCACGAGGGTGAAAAAACAGGTGAAAAAAGAGGTGAAATCTCACCTCTTCACCTAAATTATATTTTTTGGTCCGGGAACAACTTTCTCTCAATTGGAGCTGTAGCATACTCTTTGCGTAAGCGGTTCAGACCTTCTTCGAAGTCTTGGTCTCTCTTGGACTGAGATTGGAATTGCTGGGGTGGAGCTTGCTGGAACATCCAAGGGTTGGGGAAGTAAGGCATAGGCTGAGGAGGGTAGTTCTGGAAGCCTTGTGGTGGGTAGTAACCTTGAGGTGGAAATTGGTAGTAATTCGGAGGTATTGCTGGAACTGAGGTTGCTGAGGAGACTGTTGTGGTTCTTTAGGTTCCTCTGGTTTGGGAATGGACTGGGTTGGTGGGACGTCGGACATTGTCTTGAAACAGTACAAATATTGTTCTGAAGCAGTGCAAGTCTTGTTCTGAAGCAGTGCAAGTCTTGTTCTGAAACAGTACAAATATTGTTCTGAAGCAGTGCAAGTCTTGTTCTGAAACAGTACAAGTATTGTTCTGAAACAGTACAAGTATTGTTCTGAAACAGTACAAGTATTGTTCTGAAAAAGTACAAGTATTGTTCTGAAACAGAAATTTTTTCTCACAAATTGAGAGCTTTTATGGGAAATTTGTTCTGAAAAAGTTCAAGTCTTGTTCTGAAAAAGTTCAAGTCTTGTTCTGAAACAGTACAAGTATTGTTCTGAAAAAGTACAAGACTAGTTCTGAAACAGTACAAGTATTGTTCTGAAAAAGTACAAGACTAGTTCTGAAACAGAACAATGGACAACATCGAGCCATTAGATGAGGCAATTTACCTTATAGAGATAAATGAAGTTGTTAAGCAGTACTTGGGCAAGGACAAAGCCAACAAGTCCCTCGGCTTCTGGTTGTCTGGAAGAGGTGCACTGAAAATCGAAATTGAAACCGGAATTCCAATTCAAATACCAGAAAACACTCCTGTAGACGACATAAAGGAGATGAAGAAAGAAGCTCTTCTCAAGTTCTTTGCAAAGCGCCCATGGATACAACTTCCAAACAGAGAGAGTCCAATTCCACGAATTATACAAATTCTCAGAGCACTGTTCCACTTCTCGGGTCAGCCATTCTACATAACCTCAGAAGGCGACATCCAACCAGTTCAGTAAACATCTCATTTTAACTCACTTTTTTTATGTTTTTTGTGAAAGTGTCAAAAATAAATTGTTTTCATGAGTTTTCTACGATGTTAGAAAAAATGTTATTTTCTAATATCTTCACATTCAATACTTTTTCAGCACTTTTCCGTAGTTATATATGAAAGACAATTCGAGATAAAAGTCATAGTACAATGGAATAATATGTTGCACACCATTTGTTGTGAACCAAACTTGAAAGTCAGAGAAACTGTTACTAGATGGTTCGTAGAATTTAGAAGCAAAGTCATAAAAGTCCTTACCAATACATAGAAAACTATTGTTGCTTGAACTGAAACTTGCATGACACATAACATTTTGAGGGTCAAACACGTTTCTATAAACCATCAAATCTGCTGGTGGAAGTATAAATTTAAATGGACCATCTGGTGGTAATGGTTCGTTCTGGTTTAGTAACCGAAGAAATTGTGCCCAAGAACGTTTGTCTACTTCCCAAAATAAAAACTCTGTATCTCTTGGAGGGTTAATTTCAATCTTTTGAAATGAAACGGTGGAGTTCATCTTGTCATATTCTAGTTTCAGATAGTATGTTCCATTTAGTAAAGAGTCGTATTTTTTTGAAATTCCCAATAATATTTGTTCATTTGAGTTTGAAAGTCATTTAGAGTTTTCTCAAGATTTCGTCTGAACGAACTGTAAAGATTCTCATTTCGTCAAATTTGTCTATTAGACCATCAGAACCTTTATACTGCCATGAAAATATACTGCGAACATAAATGCGTTAGTTCTATTTGAAAACAAACTCTTCTAATCCTATTGCCTTTGCATCTGAAGGACTTTGAAGCCAACGAATTGGATAGTCAAACCTGTATGCTCGGGATGAAATTTCTTCATCTGAAATAGTCCTACCAGCATTTGTAAAGATATAGTCTAACGGTTTTGTATCTGCTACTTTTGTTCTTTGTTTTTCAACCTGAAGCATTTAATATATGTAAAAATATATTGTTTTTAAAATGGTATGCCATTTCATATTTCTCATCTAACAAACAAGTTTCCCAACGGTCTTCTCCAACAAACTCAGCGTACATTTCAAATAAAATAAAAAATGTCACTTTTTTAAAAATAAATTTTTTATTTCATGCAATGTTTTATTTCTGTGCCGTCTTCAAGTATGCCCCAATATTTCCTTTTCGATATTACATGAACTTCGGAAAATACCTTATCTAGCTTAAAACAGCCCATCTTTTCACCGACCATTCCCATTTCAATGAGTTTGTTGTATCCTTCTTCGTTCGTCATGAGTGCGTCAATGTTCTCATAGTAAACCTTCACTTTGGATTTGACTTCGGAGAAGAATTTGTTGTAGTTGTCAAGGACTGCCTTTGCGAACTGAGGGTAAGACCAATGTTCGACAATAGGTTTTAATGTGGTTACTAAGCCACTTTGACCTTGAGTGAATTCGTACTTCAAAACAAAAGGAGAAAACCTTTCAACAAAGTTGTCGACCTTCTCATAATGTTTACTCTTCATCTCTTGAGGTTTCTTAATGGAATATCCCCATGTCGAATTCATAAGCAATTTGAGTGTCATTGCAAGTTTGGGGTTTGAAGCTTTCCTAATATCATACAGTTGTTGTATGACTTTTCCAACTGTATAGTTCCTTCCCGGGAACTCACCATCTTCGTTTGGAATTCCAGTCGGAATATATTGGACAAACCTCATGTATGCAGCGTTAAGGTCGACATAGTATATCTTTTCATCTGAGTCGAACTTGTCGCAACCAATTGGTCCAGTTTGTGGAAATTCAAGTGAGTCTCTTATCTTCTGAGAAACTTCTCCTGTTATCTCATAAACATCGTCGAAGCAACCTGTTTCATATAAAACCTTCTGACCTAACTCAGATGCTCTCCAATACAATTTGACGTCAATTGGATGTCTCAATGGAAGTTTGTTTATAGCATCTTGAAGTTCTTGCAACCTCATTGGAAGTTCTTCTGGTTCAGGTTGGTATCCGAACATACCAACCCTTGTGGAACTGTGTACTTCTTTTGTACTAGAACTTTGTCTGGAACAACTTTTGGTCTTGCTAACAATGAAAAGTTTGTTTCGTCTTTTGGTACAAAAGTTTCTGTCAGCTTGTCATCTGGAATTGGTTCCAACAAACCTTTCTCGAAAAGAATGTTTACAGCTCTGACAATGTTGCACTTACTTTTACCAAAGAATGGGTTTGTAAGACTTTCGTTCAACATGAAGTGGTTGTGGACAATTACAATCTTCAACCATGGTAAGTCTTTGTCAACAACATAGTCGTCATGTGAAGAACCTTTAGCTGTAGGTATGTTGACTCGGATATTGACATTTGCCAACGGTGCAATTTTTGCCAATTGACCTCTGAGAATGTACCTTGTCTTCACACATGACTCAAGATACTTCATCTTCTCATCTGTAACAAGACCAGAGTTCCTGAGACATGTAAGAATACAAGGTTCATTGACAATTGTTTCAATTGAATTGTAAATTCCATACCTTGTCAAGTCAATGTCAGACTTATTTATGAAGGGGAAGTATCCAGCATGTTGTCTGACTGCTTGAGGGTTAGGTTGGTACCATTCGAACTTGACACTTGCAATTCCTTCAATTGCATTCAAAATGTCTGAGTCGGAGTCAACCATTTGTTCTCTCTTTGTAGTCTTGAAAGCGTCAAGAAGTTTTGCGGCTGTTTGTTCATTGCCATGTGCATAGTAAATGTGACCATCCAAATCTGTTATGGTCAATCTGAGATTGTGTCCTTTCTTATTTCCGTCTTGAATTGCAGCAAGTACTCCCATGAAGCCTTCTTTGTTCTTTCCTTCGTCAAAGTTTACTGTAAAGGTTCGACCAGATGTAATTTGACTTCTAACTTCACGATACTTTTCATATGCATATCTTGTTCTTTCCATGGGAGCATGTGCGTCTTCACCTTTTCCTTTTTTCCTTCTCAAAGGATGCAATTGTTCGTCATGTTTCCAGTAGAATCTGGCAAAGCCGTCGTGTCCTTCAACTTGAGGTTCACTAACATCGAAAGGCATGTCCATAAGACGTTCTTCTTCTAACCTCTCTAGTCTGTTTGGATAATTGGCACGTGCTGTTTCCAAATCCATTTCGTAGCGAAGACCAGACAATTTGTCATAGACTTTTATGGGTCTTCCCTTCCTATATTTAAAATTCTTCGAAACTCTCCAACCATATCTTTGTAACTCTGCTTTTATTCTAGCAGACTTTCTATCCATTCTATATGGGGGCATTTTTATAAAAATAAAAAAATATTTTTTCTTTACTTTACATAACCGCCTGCTGCCATAAGTCTTTGACGCCAACCCATACCAGCTAATGAAGGTTGACTTGGTTTAGTTTGGAAACTAAACTTTGGTTTTGGTTTATCTTCAGTTTTTGGTTTTTCTTCTTCTATCGGTTTTTCGTCACTTTTCGGTTCCTCTGACTTTACTTCACTTGCAGGAACAGTTGTGTCGTCAACATCTTCATAAATATCATATGCCATTTGTTTTTGTTTTCCTTTCAACTTTTTGTGTTTGTTGTAAAGTTTAGAATATTTCGACTCTAAGTCAATGAGATGTTCTATAATGAACTGTTGGTCAGTGAAGTAAACTTTTCCATCTGTTGTCTCGAAAGCTCCTTCAGACTTCAATATTTTATTTGTGAGAGTCTGTTTCTTTTTTGAGATACTAGCCGTTCCATTTCTATGAAAAGTGACTTTATAGTTAGGGTTTGTATTTCCAGACCTGGCACTTTCTATTATTGAATTTTTCTCTTCATCTGTAAGTTCTTTGACAGGTTTTGACAATGGTTCTGAACTTTTTGTTTGTGGTGTCAAATCTACCGTTTCAACTTCTTCGGTCATTTCATCTCAGTAAAAAATTTTAGTTTGGTTTGTTTTCAACTGGTTGTTTAGGTTTTTTAAGTCGGTCTAAAACTTCCTGAGGTATAGGAAGAACTTTACAAACACGTGGTGTAAATGCTGGAAGCCGACAAATCCATCTTGAACTCATTTGTCTCAATGCTGCATTGTTCATTTCATCTCAGTAAAAAATTTACATTCCCCACGTTTGAGGCGGTTGAGGTTGGTTATTGTTTACCCACTGTTGTGCATGGTTATATCCTCTGTTAAAGAATCTTTCACCTTGGTCCATATAGTGTCCTGCTTGGTTATAGTAGTCATTTGCTTTGTTATAATAGTTTCCTGCTTGTCTTCCTACATTGTCCATCCATCCTTGAACTTTTCCTCTTGTTTCAGGATTTGGAATAAGATTTGTTGCATCTCGTGCTACATCCCAACCTTTCTGTACAGTTTGTATAATAGGTTGTGCTTTCTCTTTAAGTATACCTAATGTACTCAAAATCTTCCTTCCAACTCCAAATGCACCTCTGGCTATTGTTCCCACTGCGGGCAAAAATCTGGATGCAACTCCTGCTAATGCGCCAAATAAACCCATTTCTTATAGGGTAAAAAATGACGAATCCGAACAAGGACCCCTATGTTTCTAAAGCGACAAAGAAAGCACTCATGATAAAAATCTTTAGTTCAACACCAAATGCTTGGTTTATGGATATCTTGGAAAACATTCCGAGAGTTAGAACAGATGGACCTCCATACTGGTTAATATTTGTTGGTCAAAACACAAGATACTGTGAAGCCATACCATTATGGTCCAAAAATATTTTAGATGTGAAAACTGCTTTGACAATATTCGTTGACAAATACCATCCAACAAAACTGACATCTGACTGTGAAAGTTCTTTCAAATCAGATGATGTAAAAAACTATCTGCGTTCAAAAAATGTAAACCAATATTTCATTGTCGACCAAAACCATTCTGCTCTTGGTGTCATTGACGGTTGTATAAAAATGTTAAGAGACTTAAACCAACCACAAGGTGGTGAAGCAAATGAAATGTCATATGACGACAAATATAGACACTTCTCCATGGCAAAGATGAGACAAGTTTTAAATATTTACAATAACCGTAAACAAAAAGGTTTGGGAAACCACTCCCCCGAAGAAATGAAAAACAACCCTGACTTAGAGAAAGACTATATATTTAATAATTTAGTCAAAAGAGACAAACAAGAAAGAATGCCGGGCTTCAAACTTCAGAAAGGTGACAAAGTAAAAATAGAAATACCTAAACGCGACCCATATGAAAATACTATTGACTATGACAACAATGGGAACCCGACAGGTACTCACATTCGTGTTCGTAAAAATAGAAGAAAGTATACAAGAGAATATTATGAAGTTTTAGGCAAACATGGCAAAATGTACACACTGCAAGCAGAAGATAAAACTACTATTGCCAGACCTCGTTTCAAACTTGTCAAAGTTCAAGGTGGTATACTTTCAAAGACAGTTCCTAACAAATATAAGACAACTCCTGACGAATATGCTAAAGAAGTTGAAAATGACGACTAAGCAATTCTATACCATGCGTAAACTGTCATGTAAGGTGGCATGTATTCTTTACTTTGTCCCGTTGTTTGCGTATATCCTGAAACGAAATGTGTATGGTTTCCTTCTCCCTGAGTGTCACTCCAGTAACAATTTATAGCAAACTTAACGTCGTCTTTAACATCATATCCTTTACCTTTTGTCATTCCTGACCAATCCCAATATCTATGCTTATGCCAACCTGCTTGAGATGTACTTAAATCTATGTAGTGACTGTGTGCAGGTAAATTTTCACCTGAAATCGTTTTACTTCCACCTGTTTCCTTTGAAGAGTTTGCACAATACAAAAACCTGTCGACTATTTGTTCCCATGCACCAACACCAAACATTACTTGAGGACCTCTTGCATCCATAGATGTATAAATAGAACCTACTGGGTTCATTAAATCAAACATATGAGATATTATAGGATTGTCTCTTTTGAACTTAAAATATAGTGCAACTATTTCAGGTTTCTTCTGGTTTGTGTCAGAATATTTTTTATAATATAATCTTATGTTTTCAGGGTAGGTAAAATCTTGACTATAATATTTATTTCTGTCATCTGTATAATAATATACTATTCTCGTTTTTTCTATTGCATTATATCTTTTATATCTATAATAATCTAAATATAATGTTAGCTTTTGTTCATCTGCATGTGGTGTTCTGTCGTCATCTCCATAGTCATAATAATATGGTGCTGGAGCTGGGTCAGGCAATGTCATATCTGCCATTTCATAAACTCTTAAATATTTCTTTTGTTCGTCTCCATATAAGTTTAAGTAGCAGTTGTTGTCTAATGGAACTTTAACTTGTGTACCATCATTCTTTTTATAGCTTACATACATTTCATTGTTATTTTTCGGAATGAGTTTACACCGTGTACCATTTTTTAAGGACTGTACAAACTGCCATCTAAAATATTTATTTTCTTCATTGACAGAAAAGTCACCAACAATAGTTTCAATATTTTTTTTGTTCCTATCAAACTTTGGTATATTTCATTGACATATGTTTTATCTGCTTTCTTTTCAAGGCTAACGTTTAAGTCTGTTATTTCAGATATAGAATGTGTATGTCCAACGCACTTTTCCTGTTTAAGGTTTCTTGTAAGTTTGTAATATTTGCAATGGTATGTGTATGTCCAACGGCACTTTTCCTGTTTAAGGTTTCTTGTAAGTTTGTGATATTTGCAATGGTATGTGTATGAGTCTTATCTGCTTTTGTCTCTAATGTTTCCTTAAGACTTAGTATTTGGTTAATATAATGTATATGAGTCTTTTTAGAATATTCGTTTTCAGCTCTTGTCACTTCACTTGACATTTTATTGTCAACATATGTTTTGTCTTCTAGTTCAGGATGAGTATGTTCTTTTGTTGCATAAGCATTGTTAGCTCTTTCTTCTTCTTTTGCTATTGCATCGTCTACATATTCTTTGTCAGCTTTGTTGTCAACATCTGCTTTCAAAAGAAGTTCATTTATAGGTTTCTCGTTTAAAGTTCCTTTTGTTGGATTTATACAGACAGTATGGTTCTTATTGTCTTGAAACAGAAACTCATCTGTCATTGGGTTTATTGTCAGTTTTAAGTTTCCTTCTTTCAATGACTCTGATATCTTAGAATAGTTTGAAAAGTTTGTTGTGTTCTTATTTAGAGCTTGCATAATGAGTTGTCGGTTGTGTTGTATTTCTCTCATAGACGCTGTTTCATTTGACATTTTTATTATAGATAAAATATGCTTCCAATAGAAAAAGAAAATTCTAGAGTTGCTACAACTAAACCATTAGATGAACTTTTTACTAATGTCGGTCAAAAGTTTGAGACAGATACCGTAAAGCATGAAGGCTATCGTTTTGAGTACCCATTAAGATGGTTAAGAGACCCATCTGTCACAAAAGCTATTGGCTTTCGAAGAATAAAGTTTGTGTCTGTAGAAGATAAAAGTTTTCCATTTATTGTAAGGTTTCATATAGATTATACATCTGAAGGGCAACGAAAAATGTGGGAAGAAATTGAGCTAATACAAGTTGACCTCTCATCTTCTCTACAGACTGCATTAAAAAATATAGAAGATAAAATAAATTCATGTTATGCAAAATATGCTGATGAATATGCGAATACCAATAGCACACTTTATGTGAGAATTGTATATGACAAACAAAATTCACAAGTGTCATTTCAAATCTACGAAGACAATCCAAATAAAGACGAACAAATATATACAGAATTCACTGCAATGTCATGGTATTATTTGCAAAGAATGTTAAATCAGAAAGTTGAACCTCCTTTAGCAAATATCTACAGTCGATATGCAAGAGATGAACCATATTTATTTAAAGATGTTTTCGACCAAGATGCTGTGATAGTTCATGCTTCATTTTCTGGCGCCCAAAACTCTTTCTTATGCTTGGCAAATGACTTTTACGAAAAACCTACAAAGTTATACGAACCACCAAGTGGAAGTATTTCAGACTTTCAAGTATGGTTTACTACAGATGGAAGAAAAAGAATAATTCCATTATACCATGCGTTTTACTTAGAACTTAGTTTCATATACAACTACTATCGAACGGTAAAAATATGATTTTTTAATACGGTTGAGGTGTTGGATTTGGTTGCCAACTAGACTGTGGTGCAGGTTCAGGCTGTTGTATAACAGGAGCTTGTTCTTCTGGTTCAGGGTCTTTAGGTATAATACCAACAAACTGACCTACTCTTTTACCAATATTTTTGACACCGTTCCATACTCTCTTCCGACAGATTTTATTCCATTCCATATACCTCTTCCAACATTTCGAAAGAAGTTTCCAATACTACTGAAGAAACCCATTTTACTATATGTAAAAATCTAATGTCCACCTAGTCTCTTACGTTTCCTGTTGAGTTCCATAGCATTCTTTAACTGGAGCTCATACATTCTGTTTCTCCTCTGGTAGAAAACATATTCTGGGTCAACTCCTGTGTTCGCGTCATCTGCATAAAGTTGTTTATATCCCACTTCAGGGTTTGTATAAAACTCTTTCCATCTCATATTTGCATACCATGGTGGCAAACCTAACGCAGCGTCATTTGACATGGCAGTTTGCATTTGTACATCTGTTGGCACTTGACCATAGTTTGCCATTGCAGTTTGTATTCTAACTTCATTTGGAATATTCTCTGGGTTTGGTTGTCCAGGTTGCTGTGCATTCGCTAAGTTCTGTGCGTCCATTTAATATTAGATAAAAATATCTCTTACGAGTACATATGCTGAACATTTGCAGGCATTGGTTCATCTTCATATTCTCTGTACTTTTCTGCCACGTCAAATAAATAAATGACACAATGGAAAAAAACCTAAAACAAGTAGTCCTATTTCAAACCACATTTACTTACTAATAAAATTTCTTTATTGTGACACTTTCTCCAGTTTATAGGACCTCTCTCATATTCTATCTTGTCATATATAAACTCATAGTCATGTATGTCCTCTAACCATCTCATAACGGTTTCCAAACCACTTTTATCGGATGTAAAGTAAAAGCATGGATGGTTATGTATAACGTCTAAAGTTTCTAAAGAGTCTCTCAAAGTCCAGTCTACTTGGTATTGAAAATCCCATGTGTTATAGAACGGCGGGGCCACTATAAAAAAACATTTTCCTTGTCTTTATATTTTTCATACAACTCTGTCCAATGACATCTCACAAACTCTATACCCTCAATATATTTTTCTATGTCCTCTTTGAAACATTTGTATAGTTAAGATATAAAACTTTTGACATAAGTGTTTCAATGTCATGAACTCTTATAGCACCACTATATAATAGTCTAGCAGATATACTATCCCAGTCTATATATTCTGCTTTTTTCAAAACCTCTCTCACAATATTTTTCTTATCTAATGGTATACGTTCCATCTTACCTATAGGTATCTTTTCTTTTAACTCTTTCAATATATTGTTTGTGTCTGGAATATGTTTGAGACGGTCCATATAGTTGTCGAAGTCATTGCATATAATCTTTGAGTCTGGGAATATTGTATGACATAAATGGGATATATAGAAACTTCCACCGAACAAATCTACAAATGTTAGACCATTCGGTAGTTTCTTAAGTTCTCTCAATATAATATCTTTACATTTACTCTTATTTCCAAAGAACGGTAACGGCGGTTTTGTAAAATTCATTTATATATAATAATAAAAATGGTTTTACCCGAAAAGTGACAGAAAAGTGACAAAACATGAAAACATATATAATTTGTGAAAAGCGACAGAAAAAGTGACAATTAAAAAGTGACACCATTAATATGATGTAAATAACAACGGTTTTGGTTTTGTCACCGGCTGGTCGGCTGGGGTTCGGTCCTCCTCTTGGGTCTTGGGAAAAATTTCTTATGGGCTAGAGGGCGCAACGCGCCTGGAAGCCCTCCGAATAAAAACTTCATTTATACTAAACATCTTCGGGGCTAGAGGGCGCAACGCGCCTGGAAGCCCTCCGAATAAAAACTTCATTTATACTAAACATCTTCGGGGCTAGAGGGCGCAACGCGCCTGGAAGCCCCAACTGCCTTGCCTTACAATGTGTGTGTAAAGAAAATACTTTATTTACTAGTTAAAAACTCATTTGGTATTGATCAAGTTATTTTTTCTGGATAAGATATTATATGGATAATTGGATAGAAAATACAATTATATAATCTTGTACCTGGTTTAATTAAGCTAATTGTCATCAGAAACTTGTAATTTTTATGAATTTCAGATTTTCTTTTCATTACTGCTTTTCTTAATAGGTCAAGTTCTTATTTACGTTATAAAGTATGATATTTACAAATATCAAGTTATCATGTTTTTTGAGAAATTATGAGAAACAAACAAAAATGAAAAAGATAGGAATAGCAATGAATAGTGATGTGGGTATAGAAAATGTAAGAGATATGAATGCAAAGCAATCAGTATTTAGGATATTGACCATAGATTTCGAAAAAAAAATGCTGCATATTGAGCGAAAACTATGATTATATTATAAGGCTGTCATTTAAAGCATAATGAAACTATTCCCTTTTCATTTTAATCGAATAAGATAGTAAAGATTTTTGAATTAGCTAGAAACTGATGAGATGTTTTCACAAATCAGATTTTTAATCTCTATAATGCATAATTCACTCAATATCTCAATTTTGATATTGCGAGATATTTTTGCTATCGGTTTCGCAATTTTGACAGAATAGCAAGAGGGTTCTATAAGCATTATTATCAACGTAGAATCTGAATATCATATCAGAAAATGTCGCAAATCTGACATTTACCCGACCAAATAGCAAAAATAATTGAATACTTTTCGCAAAAACTTTAAAAATCGATAAAAATATGAAATATAGATATTAAAGAGACTTTTTATATAATATTCATAAAGATTTTCCAAAAATATGATACCGCAAAATTAAAAAAGTGACGTCTTGAGTGGAGTCAAAGGTCGAAATTGCTAGCTAAATGTTTTTTTAGCGAAATTGCGTATTGTACGTTTTTTTCGCAAAACGAAACCCTTAATCTTGCCTTTTATTTTTTTCTCGCTGTGAAACGTATTCGGTCATTTTTTTAAAAATTAATTTTTTGTTAGAGATAAGAGCTAAAACTCGGTAAACAACTTCTTTATGTCTAGAAAATTCTATCTTGCCTTTTATTTTTTTCTCGCTGTGAAACGTATTCGGTCATTTTTTTTAAAAATTAATTTTTTGTTAGAGATAAGAGCTAAAACTCGGTAAACAACTTCTTTATGTCTAGAAAATTCTATCTTGCCTTTTATTTTTTTCTCGCTGTGAAACGTATTCGGTCATTTTTTTAAAAATTAATTTTTTGTTAGAGATAAGAGCTAAAACTCGGTAAACAACTTCTTTATGTCTAGAAAATTCTATCTTGCCTTTTATTTTTTTCTCGCTGTGAAACGTATTCGGTCATTTTTTTTAAAAATTAATTTTTTGTTAGAGATAAGAGCTAAAACTCGGTAAACAACTTCTTTATGTCTAGAAAATTCTATCTTGCCTTTTATTTTTTTCTCGCTGTGAAACGTATTCTGTCATTTTTTTAAAAATTAATTTTTTGTTAGAGATAAGAGCTAAAACTCGGTAAACAACTTCTTTATGTCTAGAAAATTCTATCTTGCCTTTTATTTTTTTCTCGCTGTGAAACGTATTCGGTCATTTTTTTTAAAAAAATTTTTTGTTAGAGATAAGAGCTAAAACTCGGTAAACAACTTCTTTATGTCTAGAAAATTCTATCTTGCCTTTTATTTTTTTCTCGCTGTGAAACGTATTCTGTCATTTTTTTAAAAATTAATTTTTTGTTAGAGATAAGAGCTAAAACTCGGTAAACAACTTCTTTATGTCTAGAAAATTCTATCTTGCCTTTTATTTTTTTCTCGCTGTGAAACGTATTCGGTCATTTTTTTAAAAATTAATTTTTTGTTAGAGATAAGAGCTAAAACTCGGTAAACAACTTCTTTATGTCTAGAAAATTCTATCTTGCCTTTTATTTTTTTCTCGCTGTGAAACGTATTCGGTCATTTTTTTAAAAATTAATTTTTTGTTAGAGATAAGAGCTAAAACTTTGCAGACAACTCCCCCATGTCTAGCAAATTTAACATTCGTCTCCCATTTTTATATATTTGGTTTAGAATGTTCGAAAATGCGTAATATGGTCATTAATATTAATTGAAAAGAACCTTGAATTAATTCAATCTGATCTCACAAAATATTTTAAATTACAAACTTTGTAGTTTGAATAGATAATTAGTATTAAACTCAAATAACTGGTTTATTTTTGAATAAAAATTATTTGAATTCATTCAATTTTGTGAATTTTCCTTCAAAAATCAAGTTTAAATATCATATTTGCCATATAATTATAAATACAATGAAACATATTCGAAATTGAAAAGAATGACTTTTTCTGTTCTTTCAATCATTCAATTTGAATTTTGCAATATTGGATTTCTCATTAAATAGCCATTAAAAACAACAAGCAATTTAACTTACATTCAAATTTATTTGTGTTATATTCAATCATCTCAAAACTTATAATTTTCGGCTATAGCATGATTATATGCTATATAATATAATAAACCTATAATAGTATCATTCTTTCAATTATTTGAAGAGAAAACCGAAAAAATCTATTTTCGGTTTATAACAAAAGAGAAATTTTATCCTTCTTCTCAAAAAGTGGTACCCCATTAAGTAAATTCTGAGCAAAGAGAGTCTTGCATCACTATGGCTTTCTGTATGCAATAGCATCTTCCAATTTTGATATTTCACATTTCATATAAAATTATTTCCTCTCAAAATCTGTAATGAGTGATTTGCCGGGAGATCTGGCGCGAAGCTGGAATGGCCCGCCTCCAGATGTTCCAAGCCATTTAATACCAATAGATTTACCCAAGTTCACATACCCAACTGACTATGCCAAAATGTTTAATCAAGATCCGATGTTAATGATTACAGTTGCCATCACAACGGATTCAACAATTGTACAATTACATAATATGGGGCCTTATCTCTTTTATTGCAAAGGAATTTATCCCTCATCTATATCAAAATTAATATTCAGTCCTAAATTTCCATTTGAAATCAAATCATTCCTTTATTTTTACTTCAATTCTATAATACACGAGTTTAACAGTTTATCAGACTCGATTTATTACTGCCTTTCTAGGATTGCTTTTCCTCCAAATTTAAGTCAAGTTAATACAATACTTGAAATATTTTCAGCTGTATATCTGACAGCCAATCCAAATTTTGATTATGATATTCCCGCTTTAACTTCCTTATTAGCTGCTCTTTTACTTCAATCTGGATACAACATTCCAAGCAAGAAGTTCCCAAAGTCAAAATATCTTGAATTAACTCACATTAATAAAATTCCACGTGCATACAGAGAACGTGTATTCAATGATTTAGAGAAACGACCTTTCCCTGTGTTTTTCACTTTTACTCATTTTAATAACCCACCAGAATACGAAAAGAAGGGCATGCTGAAGAAGATAGGCGGCCTCTTCAAAACAAAGAAAGATCGTTGCTTCGCAATCGAAGGTTTTGTTCTGAAATATTATAATGATAATACAATGATAGATCAGATTGGAGAACTTGATATACCTGGAACCATATCATCCTATCAACCTGCACAGAAGAAAGAACCAGAGCATCTTCTGATAAGGAAGAGCGATGGCGGTTCATTAGGATACAAGATTTCTAAGGAAGGAATCCGTAAAAAGAGTAACCATAGTGATTATATAGCTTACGCAGATAAGGACGACATTTTAACATGGGCAAATAATCTTAATTTGATAGCTTTTTGGAAAATTGTTTATGATCTTATATAGTAAATATTCTCTCAATATTACTAATATGCAATAGACGTTCACTTTTTACTTTCCTAGTTTCAAAATGTAATTCTTTTTGAAACCCTTTTTTTCTGCCACTCGAAGGGATAATCTAAATGAACTGGGGTAAGTCATTCATGAAATCAATACTTGTTGATACCAACGCTAATTTTAACTGAATGTTATCAAAAGATCACAAGGATTAGGTTATTTCTGAAGTCTTTTTTCACTTATTTTTTCTTAATTTCAATTAGTTCATAGACTATCATTAACCGTTATAATGCTGTTATCATATTTTTTGTTCAAAAATTTTCAAATCAAGAAAATTTAAAAATGAAATGAAGGATATCGCAATGCAATTTGATAGCAAGTTAGGTATTTAAACAAATGATATGAAATATTAGAAAATTAATTTTTCTTATATTCTTCGAATGAAGGCAAAGATGGATCAATAATTTGAGCAAGTTTATCGGCTCTTTGTATGAAATTTGATAATGAATTCGTAGCTTCTTTGATATCATCATCCAAAGATTGGAAAGTTTTTAACATTTCATCTAATTTAACATTTAAAGTATCTTTTCTTTTCTCTAATGCAACGTTCAAACTTGAGTATTGATCCATTTGCCTTGCAATATTCTTAGCAATTATTTCTTCATTTTTATTTAAATGATATGTTAATTGACTAAAATAATCTTTGATTTCTGCTTGTGCAGCAGGTAGTTTTCCAGGAGGGATATTTAGATCTTTCGGATAATTTTCTGAAATTAATGATCGAGCTATTAAAGGATTGATAACAGGGATTGGAGGAACATCTGATGTTGCACTTCTTGCTGTTTTTTCAACTGTTTTCACATTGATAATTTCAACCGGTTTGGCTTCAGATTCTTCGTTTCCCATTCTTTTATAAATTTGATGATATAACTGATTCAAATATAATAAATATCTGTAAAAGCTCAACCACATGCTATTTCCAATCATTTAGAGCAAAAATTCATTACATTTAAAAAAAAAACTAAAAAGATGATATATTGTGTGAAAATATTAATGTATTATCAAGACATTAAGAATAATATGTATTTTTATCTACCAATAATTGGCATATCATGAGCAAACAAATTTTCATTAATATTAGAGAGAATAAACGAGCTAATATCCTCTCTACTAACAAATGGATTGGTCTTATTTTCACCATGGTTAATAAGGATGCGGCCATAAGCTGGATCATCAGTTGGTTTCATATATCGAACTACTGTCCAGTTCAAAGAGGATTCTTCTGTATCTTTAGCCATTCTGATATGCTCCTTATATGCTTCTGGATATAGCTTCGTTGCATACAGATCATAGAGGTTGATATAAAAATTCATTTTATCTTCTTTGTATTTGTATGCAGGCGTTGAGATTGTAATGAATCTGGTAACGTTCGTCTGTTCGACTGCCTTAATAATGTTTTTATGGGCGATAGAAACATTGTGAGTTGCGGTCTTTGAATATTCTGGTCCAATGCAAGATATAACGGCTACAGATCCTTCAATAGCCTTCTTCATTTGGTCTATATTAACATAATCGCCATAAACAACATGAAGGTGACTGTTTTTCCTGAAAGTTTTTGATGAATTTTTTGCATAAGCAGTAACATTAAATCCATAAGCGAGAGCATTTTTAACTACAGCATGACCAATATTTCCTGTAGCTCCAAAAACGGTTAACTTTTTATCTTTTCCAACTGGAAGGTGATCTCTAAAAATGTAGTATTCATAATACTCGTAAGTTGGTGGCATTAAGTCGTTATAGATTGTTGCAGCTGCAATCACTAAAAATCCAAGAACAAAATACAAGTAAGCTTTCATTTTGTAAAGAAAATGTAACACCCGTAAAATTCCCCTCAATTCAGAAGAAGGTCTGGATAAGTTTAATAAGTAGGCATTGCGCAAGTAAATTTTGGAGTGGTGCAACTATGTGTACTCATTTTCAATCGTTTCGTTCATTGAACATGAATATTAGGGAATGATATTTTAATAATATCTTAATGTAATGTAGCATCCGACTTAAAAACATTTACAGATGATATGAATATGCAATTTTTCATTAATGATTATATAGCTTAATGCAGAAATATTTAATAAAAAAAAAATAACGCTAAGATGGTAAGAATGACGATTATAGAATTTTGCTATTTTAATAATTATATAAATTTAAGCACCATATTTGTCAACAACGCTGGCAACTTCAGTAACAAATTTTTGACAAGAGTTTGCAATAGGCATATCAAGATGATAGAATGGATTCTTGAGAACATAATCCGCATAAACTCCATAGATTTCCTTTAAGAGTTCCTGGGATTTTACAAACCCTGTATCTGTAAACACCATAAACTTTAAGCCAGTAATTGTTTGAAGAACGGATACCTTCCATGTTGTGCATTCTAATTCGGTAAAGCCGGATGATTTTGGTGTTGGAGAAATAGCGACTGAGATTGCATGAAGTGAGTGAAGTGTTGATCCGATGATAATAACTTCGTTTGAATCGAGCAGAGGAGCGTCTTTATTGTATGACCATGAAAATATAAGGCCACCACTACTGTTGCAGATCATAACATTGTAGACTGGCATTCGACGATTTCTCGATAATGTCAGGAAAAAGTTTACAAATAAAATTGATTGATTTTGATACCATAGCATTTTTTTATACCATTCATTAATATTTTGTCGGAGTTTTTAAGAAAATTATAGATAAGATTTTACATGTCATTTGCTGGCAAATGCCAAGTAAAAATCTCAAAAGTGAAATTATCTCTATGGGAATATAAATCGCTCAAATAAATTGCCCATAGAAAGTTTCCATGAATACGAGGGCAATGTCCTTCTCCAAAGCTTCTCCATTTATCCATTTCTATGGAGAAAGTGAATTATTCTATCTTCTCCACGTATTTAAAATTGAAAGTCATGACATAAGGGCGTAAATTTACCCTTTAAAAATCAATTCAAATAAAAAAATCAAGAAAAATGTACCCATTTATTCATTCCACTGAGCCTTAAAAAGCTGTAGGAAATCAAGAATAAAATAAATTGAGAATATTGTCATTGCTAAATAAACAAGACTGTTATGTGATCTCATTTGAGTTTTTTGGATTTAGAGGTTAAATAAATTGATGTATTGCACAAGTGTGTTATAACAGGTCGATTTATAATAAAATAATTATTATAATAAATTTGATATTCAGTGATGGCGCTACACGCCTTTTAGCATCTTGGGCAGTTATATGCCCAGAATGCAAGCTTGAGAAATTTGAAGCTTCGTTTCAAATTTCTGCCTTGCTGTTATATAAAACAGGAGCTCAATTTCGGTTTCTTTGCACCATGTGAGATAAGAAGAAGGTATGTATATCGGCAAGAAAGATAATGTGCATACTGAAGAGGGGTTTTTCCACTGTTTGTTTTTCGTTAAGTGTTCACGTATTATAAACTTCCTTATTCCAATAAACCGACCCTAAACATAATTAATTCTAAGCATGATAATGGTCTCTTTTCTATGATAACCAAATCAATTTGGTTATCATAGTAAAGCACCAAAAACTGGAATAGGAATAACCGCACTTAAACAGGAATAGGCAGTGTGGAAACTAGAGAAGACTCAACTGATTTTTTAAGCAACTCTTCTTGCCGATTCAAATCTGCTTTGCTAATCATTGTATATTACTATATTCTGATTAGGATACTTTAACGCTTGATGCATGCACATCATTCTTTTAGCTGATTTCTAAAATACAATCTTCTATTAACTTTGAAATTTCTTCAAAAGTTATAGTAATTCCATAGTTCATTCGTAAAATGTTATTAAATAGCTCTGACTATTCCTTTGCACGCAAAATGAGGTAGTATTTTTTGAATTTTTTACTCAAAATAAAACAAAATCTACCCAATTTTATACCACTAAAGCCTATATTGACACACACATATATAAATCTCTATTGTTATAAGATAAATTTGAAAAAATAAATTTTTTTCCTAAAATGTAAAATTATACTTGTATTCAAAGAAAGTAGATCGTTTATAAGGAAGGTATTATATATTTGGGGAGAAAATCCCTTACAATATACAAAAATATGAAAGAATATTCAATCATCAGGAAAGAGCTTAGTACTAACCATTTGTGAGACGTTCATATAATATCTTTTTCCTTTTTGGGGTTTTTAATCGGATTATCCATTTCCCTGCATTGACTTTAATTCATTCTTGATGATCTGAGTATACATGATCATTATCGAACGTTTGCCATACTCTTCCACAGTTAATGATTGCTGAAAAATGAATAGTACTGAATAACAGCTGGAATTTCATAAGTATTTTGCGTATTTATACTGATTTAAACATGAAATACTCATACAAAATGCAAAGTTTTTAAAAACAATCAATAAAAGATTTTAAATTAGATAAAATATCATATGTCACTTCTTTTTTCATCTGGATAATAAAATTGATAAATTTTTTTCTAATTAAAGATAAAGATGCATTTATAGTAGTAGAAAATTAATTTCTAGACTAAAGCTTGTTTATTGTCACCGTTTTAAGTCTAAATTTATAGGAAATGGTTATTTTATTATGCATTAAAAGTTCTTCTATAAAATTAACATTAAAATCATCTTTCGCCTAAGAGTAATAACAAGGTTATGCAAATTTTATTGAAAATAGTACGAGAATTTTGTTTGAAAATATAATATGGTTAAAAATAGGGAATGGATGTATGAATGTTCCATATTTATTTTATCCGAGTTGCTTCATGATTCCATATTGCCGATTCCTATTCCAGTTTTTGGTGCTTTACTATGATAACCAAATTGATTTGGTTATCATAGAAAAGAGACCATTATCATGCTTAGAATTAATTATGTTTAGGGTCGGTTTATTGGAATAAGGAAGTTTATAATACGTGAACACTTGTTTCCTCATCGAAAAGTCAGAACGCATAAAGTCAATGTTTCCTTAGTACAAAAAGTGACATATGACGCTTAACTCTTTATTCCAGATAATGACCATATTTATGGGATTAAAAAGTTTAGGAAGCTTCTCCCCAATATTATTATAGAATGTTACTGCAAAAAAACAATTATTGAACAAATATTCTAAAATTAATTTTCTAATTTTTCAATTGCCTTTGTTATTAATCTAGAAATATAAAGAGCATCAACATTTGTCTTCTGGACAGGTATATGCATGATTGACGCATCTCTTCCTTCAATCATATTAACTTCTGTGAATCCTCCCAAATAAATGAAGGAAAGAAGCCATTTTTCCATTTGTAATTCAACAACTGATGTTCCTTTCTGCATGAATATAATATTAGAAAGGACAGAACCGTGAACGGCGAAGAAAACTCTGATGGAATTGAAATATTTCGCTTGTTCGGCCAAAGTAATCAAGTTATAGCCTACTTCCCACTTGTACTCTGGATGTTGGGTCCTAATAGCATCTAAAACCTCTTGCCAGTTGCCAATTTCTCTTGACATATTAAATCTGTTGTATAAAACGTATTTTGAAGGCTTTTCTCTGTTCAGTTTGAACATTTCGATGAATTTCTGCTTCATGTTTTGTATTAATAACTGGTTAATGTCACCACACCAGTTTGAATGCATCATGTAAAGATTTTCTGCGTATAAATAAGTATCTTCAGCGAAAATAATTTTATCTTCGGTTATGTTGAAAAGAGATAAGTGTTCAACGATATATTTCTTGTAATGAGGAACGACAATTACAGATGTATCCAAAATCCATTGAGGAACTGCAAAGAAACACGGAAGAACTTCTAAGAACCAATGTCCAAAGTCGGATGTGTGCTGATGGCCAATGCAAACAGCAGAATGGTACTTATAATAAGTAATAAAGTTGATATTGTAGAATTTCGAGTATGAGGCATTCCAAAATCGAGGGTGGCATACTAATGACATAACATGAAATCCATTCCACTTGACAATGACTGATTCAGGTGTGAAAACTGAATTTCTGAATACTAAAAGCATTGGTTCTAAGAGCTTAACATCATTTTCACCAGGAATATAGCCTGATGGATAAATAGATTTGAAAAATATTGGAGGTTGATACTTATTAAGTGAAAAATTCATCGGATTCATAGGGATTTTAAAGCCTTCTCTGAGCTGATTGACTGAATCACGCGCAAACATTGTTCCGTAACCAATTTCGAAAGAGTCCCGTGCTGGATTTACTTTGAATAATAATTCTGTACCGAAATTCCAGAAACAGAACAAGACAATCACTAATGAAATGAATGCTAAGCATTTTTTGGATGTCCAGATTGTTTCATATATCGTCGGTTTGTTTTCTGTTCTCATTGTAAATTTTTTTGACAAAAATTTTAAGGTGTGCATTCAAAGAAGTTGTAAAATCAATAAATCAGAAAGTTGATTGAATTTTTACATTTAAAATAGCATATTTCATGGGAAAATTTGAAGAAATTTACAGATCGGATGGAGATTTAACTTCTCTTCGGGGCGGCGACAAATTTGCCCAGCCAGTAAAGTATTCAATTTTTTTTTGCTTTTTTTTAAGGGTGCACCCGCATGTACGTTTATTTGAGAGGAGGAGGATTACCCTCTCAATTTTGAAAGCTTCGTTAACTTAATATCTCGATGAATATTGGATTAAAATTGAATTTGCCCATACCAATATATCTGATACAATATCCTTAAGTTTTACTAAAAAGAATTTTTTAAAATCCCTGCAGATTCGGGGATTTTTAAATTTTTTGGTTTTTTTCGAAAATTTTTCGGAAAAAAAAATATTTTCAGAAGAGCCTTAACGGCTAAGTTTTATGTTTAATGTTGAGTATCAAAAAGAATGGGCATCTGATATAGCCATCATATATCCCAGAAGCAAATAAAAATTCTGACTTTTTAAGCATAAAAAATGAAATTTTATTTTTTGCAAAAAACAGGCCACCCGGATGTACGTTTATTTGAGAGGAGGAGGATTAAATTTTTGAAAGCACTAAAATTTGTAAATATGCTAGTTATATAATAATATGCATTATTTTAAAAAATAAAAATTAAAGCACGTTAAAATCTTTTTGATGAATTTTTACAAAGCTACTCAGGATAATGCAAGATATGAGTAGTTAAACATAAATTTCAAATCAGATTTTACTTATAATAAATATTTTAAATTTCCGATAATTAAGTTCAGATCGACTCTATACGTAGTAAATACTAAATAAGGTGCCAAAAACCTATTAAACAGTATCAAAACTATCAAGATTGTAATGTTTTTGAAGAAAAATTTATAGAATTATGGACTTCAAACAGATATTATGTAAATAAAAATAATATAATGAATTTATTTATTCGTATAATAGCAGTAATAAGTCGATTATTCACTTCTACTTCTGAGATTTGAATTTAATTTCGACAGAAAAAGAGATTCAAGAGGAAAATACTAGGGGATACAAACAGCCACCATGACAGGATTATTATGGAGCCAAGTTGTATTTTTTGATATTTTTAGAGTTTTCCTACCTATTTAGGTACCAAGTTATTGCTTAAAAATTAAGGTTCTAAATTCTGAAGTTTACATGATCCTCCCGGGCGCACCCTTAAAGCTTCTTAACTTAAATCATGGAATGTCTCAAAGACAAAAGTAGCATACAGCATGTAAAGCTAAAGAAAGATAATCATAATTAATACCTTAATTTTTAATATTACGCATTTTTAGGTGCAAAATTTAAAAACATTCTAATACAATAGAGCAGTTTCCAAAAGTAGCATACAGCATGTAAAGCTAAAGAAAGATAATCATAATTAATACCTTAATTTTTAATATTACGCATTTTTAGGTGCAAAATTTAAAAACATTCTAATACAATAGAGCAGTTTCCAAAAGTAGCATACAGCATGTAAAGCTAAAGAAAGATAATCATAATTAATACCTTTAAAGTTTAAAATCTTGATTTTTTTTAAAATCAAATATTTATAACTTTAATACATACAGCTTAAACCTTATACTTGTTTTCTCTTGTGAGAAAGCAATCTTACAAAGCTAACAATCCTAAAAAATAAAGAATTAAAATTTAATAATTTAATCTAACAAAATTTTTCTCTTTATCCTTTTGCACTCTTTATATGCAACTCAAATCCATCATATAATATTCCTATAATACTCTTGCCTCAAACAATGACGAACAAACTGCTATTCTCATTTAATTACAGACCAAATCTATTCAAATTTCTGAATTTTTAATTTTCATTTCAATTTCAAATGGAATTAGAAGAAGAAACTATCTTTACTGTTATGGATCTTTGTAAATTTGGAGTTAAACAAGAAATACAAGCACAGTATGGATATGGTGAACGTGTCAGGAAAGAAAGATCTCAGATTTCATTCCACTGCAAATATCCAAAATGTCCTGCACATTTTAATGTTGCAATCTTGGATCAAAATAAATACAAACTAATCAAAATAGTTGAAGAACATGATCATTCCGCCCCAAATGACAAAAGTCAATATTCGTCTGTCTTTTATCGCAAATATTTAGAACATTACTTCCAAACAGATGACAATCAAAGAGCGATAGCACAGCTAAATGCATTCAAAGATCTTGAAATTCCTCTTACGGGTCCGTCCATTCCAGAGATGTACGCTCAAAAACCACGTGCAATCAAATGATTTGCAGAGAGAATACATGCTCTTCAAACTAGATATTCTCCTGACGATGTTGTGTCATTGCAAATCTTTGTTCAGACAGTACAAGAAGAATCTCCAGATGATCTCATTGCATTTGAAGTCTCAGACAATAATATGTGTTTCTATTACGCGCCTTTTGAAGGCAAAGCTTATGCGCATAGTATCAAGACATTTCATATAGACAGCACCTATAAATTGTTGCGATCAAACATTCCATTGTATGCATTTACTGGCAAAATCAAAGATTTTCACATTTTCACTTTTTTATATTTCTTTTGTCAACCAGACACTTATCAAAACATTCAAGTTTGCGTGTGAGTTAGTATACATATCATGTGTACGGAGGCACTGCGCGCCTCCTTACCCATTATATGTGAATTTGACACTTTACGAAACCGTTAACGTATATTTTACAACACAAACAACAACACTAACTTAACCTTAAATATTTACAAAGCCACCAACCACTTCACCTCACTAACGTTTTCACAAACGACTTCACTACTGTAAAAAATAAACGTTCTCACTTACAAAAGTATTGCAACTCCTCCCATTGCTGTGCTTCACACAATACTTCATATTCTTCAGTATCGCTGCTGTCGCTCCAATCGTCAGAGTCAAAGTCACTGTCAAAATAAATGTTAGTAAGTTTTGACAAAGCTAATGAAACACGTTTACCGTTTGTATCGTATGCTTGTATAAACTTTCCATTCTTCATTCCTTCATAAACGCTCAAACTAACTTTACCCTTTCTCCCTCGTATCTGATAGAATGTATTTTCACGAGGAACGAAGAACAAATTCTTGAACTCATGACCGTTGTAGTTTGTTATCTCAATAGTTTTCGTCATTTATATAAAAATAAAATAAAAAATAAACTTAAAAATTAATGATATCACCACCCTCACACGTATGAAAACATAGCACAAAAATAAATTTAGGTGAAGTGGTGAAATCTCACCTCTTTTTTCACCGGTTTTTCACCCTGTTGAATTCATTGCTTTATAACTCTCTTCCTTGGTTTCTTTTTAGTTGCTTTCTTCACGTCTGTCTCCATAATGATACCAATTACTTCCACCAGTCAATGGGTCAAATGGTCGTTCATAAGGGTTTCCATACATTCCATAAGGTCCGTATGGATAAACCGCTGGTGGAGAAGAAACATTTTCTTTAGTTCCATCGACTCTATTTAAATGCATTGTTTCACCTTTCATCTGGTCATTAAAGTCTTTTGCGTGTTTTGCAAACTCATCGTCCTTTCCTAAAGCATTTTCTGACTCAGTCGCAACCAAATTGGATGCTTTATTTATGAGCCCTATTTTATTTAATCTTAACTTCTTTGCAACCCAGCCTCCAATCTTCCCTTTATTTGCATCTAATGTCTTCGAAACCCTTCCTCCACTCATTTTATTTACTGCGTCATAAGCTCCAAGTGCTTTTGCTCCAAATGCTAATGCTTTTGTTCCCATTGCGCCTAAAGCTGCCCAAGCTACCATTTACACCATATTAAAATCATCTCTCTTCAATATTATCTCATAAAAGTTCTCGTTACTGGAGAAAGTCAATGAAACATAAGCGTTCTCACGGGCTTCGCCCTCACCGCTTTGCGGTCTATCTAACTTCTTTCTTATATCATCTATACGCTTCAAAATGTCTGAACAATTGCTAACATCTTCTACAACAGTTATTTCATCATGAATGACCTTCAAGAACAAGCTCATTTAATATGCTATTAAAATCATCTCAATAATGAGTCCATCCTTTCCATCTTTAGGTAGCACAACATCTTTCATTGAAGAAGGTTCGACAAGTCTTATGTTAAACTTACTGACAAAGTTTGTTATACTATAATGCTTCGGCGGCGAAATACATATAGTTTGAAAGACATAATATAGATTCTTCAGCAAATTCACTTATACTGGATTTTATAACAATGTTCTCACGAGACCAAATACCACCAATTGACAATCTTGTAAGCAATCCTGCTGAACCTTCTACTGTAAACGTCGATGGTAACATTCCACGAAGGTCATCTATTGACATCTTTGAGTCACTGAATTTAAATATTTTCTTAAAGCAATCGTCATTATCTAACCATGCAATAGCTTTGAAGTTTTCATTCGAATATACATCTGCTTCATTAAATGTAAAACCTGACTTCTTTGCAGAGACGACTTTAAAATCTATTGAGTTTGTTTCAAAATTATATGCTATGGTAACTTCTGAAGGTAATGGATGTCCTTCCGCAGTAAGTTGTTCTCTCACTACCGTTTGAAGCTTTGTGTTAAAAACTTTCATGTCATCTCCTGTGTCTAGGTTCACATACACAGCAACAGGAAAACTATCTTGCTTCTTTGTTTCATCATTATATCTCAAAACATTAAAGTTCTTCAATAATATTGTTCTTCCTGCTGGAATACTTCTAACTTGTCTTATTTCAATAGCTTTCTCACCTCCTACATACTCTACCCAGTGTCTTGGATATTCATAAGTATACTGACTTTCTTGAATTTTGGTTGGTTTCATCATAACGTGTTCATAGTATATCTTTATACTCTTGTCAGTTAGACTCGGTGCTATGTTCTGAATATTTCTGACTTGCATTTTTAATGGAGATAAAATGAAGCATTTAATACATGATGTAGATGAAGACATGAATGAAACTACAGACAAACTTAACTCTTCTCTTATTCTTCCTTTCAGCAAAGATATGAGTTCTGTTCAAATGGTGTTTATTTCTATTGTGGAAAGATGGGTTCAGGTAAGACATTTAACCTCATTCGTCATATACTCATAACAGAACGTTTAGGAAATGACTCATATTATGACCAAATCATTATATCAGCAACTTCAGACTCTATGGACTCAACAGCGAAAACATTTATGTCAAAAGTTCAAGCCTCTGTCGTTAAAGTTCCAGACAGTGAACTCATTGAATTTCTTCAACGTTACATTCGACGTAAGAGAAATATTATGCCATCGTAGAGTTCATACAGTCAGGAATGCAAAAGACTTCTGAGGAGATGGAAAGAATTATTGACAAACACCACTTACGTCAGTACTCAGGAGTTTACGATATGAAACGACTGACAAACTACATTCTATCAAAACTTTCAAAATACCCCTTCAAAAAATATCCTTCAAACACTCTGCTCGTTTGCGACGACTTCGCCGGAAAAGGTTTAGTTCAAAGCCTGACTCACCATTAGCTAACATCATAACTAAAGTCAGACATTACCACTTAACTGTAGCAATACTTATGCAAACATGGGTTTTTCTTGCTTTAAACATAAAACGTCTCATAACTGACTTCGTTATCTTTCAAGGTTTCTCACGCTATGATATTGAACTCATTTGGAAACAGTCAGGTATAACATTACCTTTTGAAGAAATTTGGGAAGCATATAAGTCTCTCATCTCTCCTCGTTCATACCTTGAGATTCATATCATGACTAATACCATTAAAGTCAAAAATATTCCATGGGAACGACCAACATTGTTTTAAAGTTTAACCTTCAATTGACTGATGGTAAACAAATTCCATGCATCTCTGTCGCCATTTCTGTTAATATTTTTGCTGTCATTCATATCATCCACTTCCCCATCCGTTAGCTTTTGAGGATATGCGTTAGAATAGCTGTTCTTAAATGAAGGCTTTTCACCTTTGAGAGCATAAACTCTATAACTTTCTGCATACTTTATGTTTGAACCTCCTGAGCCATCATTGACATAAATTTTTATAGGCTTCCACCCTTTGTTCATGTTCCTGCTTCTTCCCTTAGCTCTTTTGTTCAGTAGTTCTACATCTTTATACACAGCACCTGTCTCAGTGAATTCAACAATATTTTCATTCGTTAGCTTTACATTCAAACCCTTGTCGAGTATATTGTTCATTTCATACATATAAAAGGTTTTTATTCTATATGAAATGAGAAGCAAATCCATCTTAGCTGGTGCCGTTAATGTTCCAATTGAACCAACATCAAATGTTGACTCACGAACGACAAACAATATTGTCATAAAGAACTATAGTTCAGAGTGTTTGAAAGAAAAAGAACCAGAACTTAAGTCGGTGAATTTAAACTCAGCTTCAAACGCTAACGCTACATCAGATGTTAAGTTAGAGTATCCACCACTGGACCAAATTCTTTCAAGAGAAGCCAACGACAACCCTTACACAAATGTTCAAACAAATCCTTCAGATAACGTAGACCATTACCTTCTTCAGTTATACCAAACAATTTTACTCAAAGACGATAAGAAGCTTTTGACAAATCTTATAAGCAAGAACCAAATAATTCTAACAAAGGAGGACCTTGAAAATGTTATCTCACGAATAACAGGGAAACAATGTGTCATTGACTATCTCGACCCTGAAATCGAATGCTGTGGTCAAACTCCACTATTCATGAAAATAGGTAACATCCGCATCATTGAAACACCAGGAACTACAGGAGTTGAGTTTAAGTATAAATATTCGAACGAGTATACAAAACTTCAACAGAATATAACTTTGCTTGAAATATGTTTTAGTAAATTAAAGCAGTCAGGACTCTTCGAGCTTGGCGCTTTGCACCGTCAGTCAAAAAATTTCAAGTTAGCAATTTGTAATATCTATCCAAAACTTCTTCAACAGTATCGAACTCATCTTCATAATGCAAACCTAATCTTATTGACTTGGTGCAGTTTTCACTAACACAATATTTTTCTGTTCTCTTGACTGACATAACTAACTCATTTGTTTCATCAAACAGCAACAACCAAAGTTCATGACCTAATACATAACATTCATACTTTATATTTTTAGCTCTGAGTTCTCTTGTAAGCTGTTGCATTTAATATTTTCTAAAAAGTCAACTTCAACAGTCATTCGCACTGGTGCCTTCAGTTCTACAGGCTCTCCTTGAAAGTCAACAAGTCTGAATTGCATGTCTTTCAAATTATGAGGACTAATGCGAACCTATTTACCTAAATGAGTTGCTA